TCCCCGGCGGGGATGGCCTCGCAGTTCCCCCGGGGCTGCATTCCCAGCACATCAGCTTTAACCTCTTGGATGAGGTTTAGGGCTTAGGCTTTAGGCAGGCCTTGCTCGTGGAAAACCACCCGTGGCAAAACGCTATTTTTTTTTTCTCCCTAGAAATTTAAGAGATACCGACCCTCGCCCCAATTTCCCTCTCAGTGTTCAGCATGGCCGTGGACTGGCTCGGCTTTGGCTACGCCCCGCTGGGTGGCATCAGGAGGGCTCATTGGCTATGCGAAAGCAGGTAGGGTGCGGGAAGGGGCTTGTATCCCCTTCATTTTCCCCCGATCCCCAATAACTTTATGTGAGCTGGGCGGCTCTGGACGAAAGCCTCCTGTCTCAAAGTTCGTGCAGATGTGAAATTTGTGCCGTGCTGATAACTTGGTGTGTTGGGGTGTGGTGCTTTTTGGGTTGAGCTGGTGCTTTGGGCTGATAAGCCCCCAATCTCCTTTCTGATGGATGCGGGTATCCTCCCTCTGCATTGTGCTCTTTGGGGAACTGATGTAAATTTGCTCCAGAAAGGCTTTCCCCCTGCTGTTTTAGATATAAGCATTCTGAAAATGTTATGTATCTTCGAATGATATAAATCACCATTTTATGCCTTAGAGATTTATTGTCATCTTCATGTTTGATGGTAACAGTATACTGGAAGCCCCAGAGAGTTTTCAGAAGGATCCTTTCTCCAAATAGAGCTGAGCAATGTAAATCAGTCTTTAAGCTTGTTCCCTTTCTGGGCTCTGCATCATAAGCTCACCCTCTGACCTACTGCTTTCATTTCCTGACTGTTTTCTGAGTTTGCCCTCCTCCGGACAGAACTGTGGATTCATCCCTGCTGCAATACTGTCTCCTACTTTGAAAATCCCTAAACCATCTTAGTGTTTGTGATATGAAGGTACGTTGCTGAAGTCAGTAAGAATCGTACCAGTGCATTTGACTACACAGGTGCTAGTGCCCATTCTAATCTGATTTTTGCTGGCTTGCTTTATACTTTGGGCTGTGAGTGGAGTTTAATGCAGGAGAGACAGTAATAACAACTTAAGTAACTAATTGCATCTGAGTTTCTCTGAGGCCATTATGAAGTGGCAGGTCTCTTTCTTATCCAATGTTCCCAGATGGGAGGACAGGGTCATGCTTAGGCAAGGGAATCCCAGTCATAGGATTTTTGAAGGAGGAACAGGAACTTTTACGGTGCCTTTTGGGGAAATACATAAATAAAGCATGGAATAAATAACTTGGAAAAACTAAAAGCAAATTGAACTTTCATCCACAAAGCTAAGATGGTGATCTGTTCTTTTACAACTAGGTCTATTTACCCACACAGACTGTGGTCAGCAGTAGGTGGTGCTTTGGGAAGAATATGAGAACAAGGCAAGCAAAGAGTGATTGATTTATTTGTTTATTTTCTCTATTCATTCAGTAAGTTCTCTGGGTCCCGATATTTTGTAACTCAGGAACTTCCTGAGCCAGAGATGGTGTGGTTATCCTAGTCAGTGTATGTGTCCTTGCTGCTTAAACATTGCGTTGAGGTAAAATTCAAGGGTACGATGGCTATTTGTGGGCTCCCAGGCCTGTGGAAAGAATTGTAGCTACCACATGTTGGTTGCTAAACTGTATTCTGTGCACAGCAGCCTCTTGCTAGAGTGTGCATCTTTTCCTTGCACATGTAGAAGAATATCTGGTGCTTTCCATCATCTTTGTCTCTTGCTTTTCGTACCAGAAGCAGGATCTGAAGCAATATTAGAGCTGCCTTGTTGATGGCTGAAAAAACATTACTTTCTGGTAGGGTTATGCATTCCTGTAGCATTGAGAGGAGATCTTTTATCAGTTTAGCTTTGCAATCTTGAGTCCTTAAGGTGACCT